ACACCTATAGCATGCTGAATCTTTACGTACAGTAATAAATCGGTTTCACTTAATAAAATACAAAGCCAGATGAAGTCAACTTGTGTTCTCATCCTGAATAGAGAGCACACATTTAACAGGTGATGAGGAAAATGCACACTCTCCTGGCCAGCACCCAGAGTCAGTTATAGAATGTGCATTTTTAAAAAATCGGAAAGGTAAATAGTAATAAGTTATTCTTCAGTGGTTTCTATTCCATATCCAGAGAATCTGGGCATGGCTTTGCAGATCTTTGTCTTGCTTGCATTTCTGCCCCAGTAGGACTTTTTTGTTTCTCATTGTCCTCACAGTCTGGCCAGTGTTTCAGCCACATTTCTTAGGTTCTATTCCCACATAACACTGGACCCAACACATAGGACCTTAAGAAACCTTTGTTGAATTTGTTCTGGAATGTGGAGAATGAAATCCATAATGTCTGGAGAAATAATGAACATGTCAAAGAATCAAATTTGTTAGCTGTGAAAGATTTGAAATTTATGATAACAATTTGAATAACTTTATTAATGAGTGCATATGTGCCCAAAACTCTATAAGAAACTTTAAAGACTATCTCATCTTGTTTCAGTTACACATCACAAGATCTGGTATCATGACATTCTTATATTCCAGTGGAATAAACTGAGGATCTGAGAAGAAAAGTAAGATGTCCACCGCCTGAAATTATTATATATATATTTTACTTAGATTAATATACATGTAATTTGATGCCAAAAGTTAATCCCTCTTGTACCCCCATCAAGTCCAGTCCTTCATTTTGGACACATTAAAGACATAAATTTTAGCAATTTTTAAATTATTTCCATATTTAAGATGCACCAAATATTTGAGTACTCTCATTTCAAGAAAATTTACAATTTATTTTAAATTATTTATTAAAATCTTACAACCAACCAAAGAAATGGGGGAGCTCTTTCCAAAACCAAGTATTTAGAAGCTCTAAAAGGAAGGTAGAAAATGATTTTTATAACTATAAAATACATTTTTATTTTGAGCTGTTATTATACTTTTTTAATTGGAAACATAATAACCAAAAGTTAGTGTATTCTTGATGGAAAAGGTTTAAAAAAAATGTGGCTAGGAACTGGTGGCTCATACCTAAAATGCTAGCTATTCAAGAAGCTCAGATATGAGGATCAAGGCTCAAAGTCAGCCTGATCAGAGAAATCTTGGAGAGTCATATCGCCAATTAACAGCAAAAAAACAGAAGTGGAGCTGTACTTCAAGTGGTAGTATACCAGCCCTGAACCAAAAAAAAAAAAAAAAACCTAAGAGAAAGTATGAGGCTATGAGTTCAAGTCTTTGTAAAGACAAATTAATAAATAGACAAATAAAGAAACAGATAAATGTGTTGATTTTGAAAAAAGTAAAGTTTTTAAAAAAAACTTACTAGAGTTTTTTGATGTGTTTTTTAGTGTTAGGGATCTAACACAGAGCCACATATATGGTGAGCAAGAGATCTACCATTGAGCTATTAGCAAGTATCTAAGATATTCCTAGAGTTAATAGTGTCTTTTCTGTAATAGGTTAGCATTTGCTGATAACTTTCCATGTACTATATACTACGTTGAACGTTTATATGTGTTACCTGATGGAGATCACAAAGAAATTCATATGAGATTGTTTTAGAAATAATATTATTCATATTTTTCATACTATTATTATTATTAATCAGATTTAATTTGTCCAAGTTTACTGAAGAGGCTATAATATATCTGAGACCAAAACATATTTGTTTAGCTATAAATCTGTAATTTTAGTTTTGGGAGTACTCTTCTTTATCTCATTTAAAACTCATTCATGTATATACATTTTATGTGACATATATCAGTGTTGTTTCCTGATAAGCAATCTTCATTGCTAGCAGATATCCCAGTGCTGCATGTGATAGTAAACACCAAACTAGTGTCTCAACTACCCATGCATGCCCTTCAATGAAATTTGATAGCTTTGGGTTATTCTCAGTCACACGCCTATGAGTTTCAAGCTCTATTTTCTCCTCCACCTAGATATTTATTTCTGTCCAAAATGGACAGATTAACAAGCATCAAAAGGAAATAGACAAGCCATCCAATGTGAAGATTTGCCAACTCTAACCTGAGAAAAATCTCCCTAGAGAAAATACAATGCCTGGATAGATGATTAGCATAACAGAAATCCTACCTCACTGAATGAGTTCCCACAGTTCATTCTGTACTTATTAGAAAGGATTATTGACACTTTCAGAAGATACAATCTCAGGGACCCCAATAACAAATTAAATTTGGTATTAAGGGTAATTGAAGTTAGATGTTTCTAGGTGCATAAGGATAGCCTAATTTTCATTTTAACTGTGAGTTACATTGCATACTATTATTAGTTGACTTGCATATAAAGCAAATTTCACATGCATTTCTGTGCTGTTTTCAATTTTATGAAATAAATTATCTTTGAATCAAGCTATACAGGAAGTGTGGAAGTGACCCCCAACAGACTTTAGATTCTGTAACTATTTGGAGGGGGAGAAGGGATAATTCAGAAACTATAAATTTTTATCAAATAAGTATTAATTCATTCTTATCTTAGCCAAATACACTTTTATAAAACAATATTAATAAGCTGTGTTATTTTCTCTAACTAAATTCTTCCCAATGAAATCCAACTGCAATATTCATTTAGAAATTTGATAATACTCTCTTGTGTGAGCTTTAGGAATATTGGAAAGTGCATTGCATATAAATTATATCATGGAAAAGCTGTATAAATATTCTATTATGGCACATGCTGTTCTAAGGATCTGTCAGGATTTCCTTTATACACTCCATTTTGAGTGGTATATAAATCAGATGTAAAAATTCACGTTGGACTGAAACTTAGCACAAAAAGCCTCCTCGAGAGGCAAAAGCTTTTTTTTTTCTCAAATGTGGTTTGAATTATGATGGTCATTTTTAAGTTATAGAAGTACAGAAAATGTATTTGTGGTTTTGAAGGAGAGAGATTTTTTCCATTTTTATAACTCATTAGGAAACTTTACAGGCCTTTAGACCATTTTGTGGTTTCGTTCATCTCAGATTTTTCCCAAAAGCAATATTAAAACTTGAATGGTGTCCCGCTGTGAATTCAATGAATACCACTCTCAATACAAATGTGTGTGTGTGTGGACATATAGTTATAGATACCTTCAAACAGAAGTTCCAGTAATATCAAGGCTGAGGTAAAAGATTAGGCCTATCAGTTACCCATGCTTGCTCTTCATATTAGGTCAAATTTGGTCTCTGAAAGGAATCCTCTATCTAAACACCAGTTCATATATTGCCTGTGATTGTGAAGCTGCATTCTTAACATGCAGAAAAATCCAGACAACTATACTGCTTATTTTATGAACTCTTCAACAAAAAAATCTTTACCTTTCTTAAGTTTGGTTTTCTCTATAATGTAGAGCAAGTTACTGCATTCTTAATAGATATTTACTCACAACTCACTCATGCATGATTAGTATATTCATGGTCACATTTAGAAATTATTTTGCATTACATTGAATTATTTTTTCTGTGAGGCTAATTTATTACTAACTTCATAAACAACATTACTAACTTCATAAACATAAACTATTATTCTAGTTTAGGTGGAGATTTTGTTTATATTACTTTTTAAGAAAGTTAGACTTGAATTTAGAAAGCTGGCAATTCACAAAGTTGATTAAACTATTCTTTCAAATATCTTAAAAGAGAACTAAAATAGAAATATTTTAATTGAATTTATTTTAATTGAATTTGAATTGCTCAATTCCTCACTGCATCTAGTTTGCTAACATAACAGAACAATATAATTTGGTACTTAATGTTTATTGTTTACATATGAAAACATGAAATGTTTTCTCAATAAGTCAGAACTTATTTTTAAATGGAATCTGCTTGTACTGATTCTTAATACAGTTCCTTCATCATATCACATTATTTTTGATTGGTAAAGCCTTTGGATTTAGGGACAATTAGAATGGATCACTCAGATATATCTGATATTTGCCTGTGGCTGCAGGAACATTTCGGACTTTGTTTTTAAGACAGTGTAAGCAATAGAAAGAGCCTAATCCTCAATATTTATCTACTAATCTAATCTACTAATCTAATATCTTGGTAATTAGCAAGTTCTGCATTAGAAATAGATCTGAATAATACCAGTTGTTTTGAGGGGTAGGGGTTGTTTTTAATCTTCTTCTGTGTTGTTTTCTTTGGTTTTCAGATTAACCCAGCAGGGGTAATGAGCACATCCCCAAACACTAATATCTGTAGATATCTATAGCTAAATACTTTATTTCTTTGTGAATCACATTTTTATTCTGCTCTATTTACTTTTAGTGAATGATTCAAATTCATGTTGGATAATGCTATATTTTATTGTAATTATAAAGTGTTGCATGCCAATTATACACCACTCATATGCAACTTTCTATTATTTTATCAATATATTCACACGTCTTATAATTTAACTTAACACAGATCACTTCAATCATTCTTGTATGACTGATGCCATCAGTCATTAAAATGCTTTCTGTAGTATTGGGGAGAATCTACACATTTCTGAGTTCTAGTCACATATTGAAATATAGTTTTACATTAATAAAATAGGTTTCTAAGTAAATGACAGATATTTAGAGAGAACTGAAAATAGAGTTTAAAATAATGAGTAGCTTTACACAGCAGACACCTAGACTGCATGACTTGAAATTAAGTTGTCTATAACTAATTAGGCAAGTAATACCCACATTGTAGTCACACACAACCCTTCCACTCACCTACAACATTATCCCACTGTTTTCCTCACATTTGGAGAAGAAATGTCTCAGTGCTACTATTTGCACAGAAGAGACCTGGAAGCCTGGCTCATTTGTTCCTTGCATAGGCAGCAGTACATTTTCAAACACGAGAAACAGTATTTTTTTAATTTTCATAATTAAAAATAAAGAATGTAAGATATATCCTCACCTTGGTTTTACCTTTAAGCATCCTTTAATCTGTCTACTAGGAACTTCTTCCCAAGGCTTTACAGGCTCTGGCTCTTGCTTTTTCTTTTGACAAACTAATATATAATTTGTGCCATTATTATTTGACCAAAATGTACCAATAGAAGTTTCATAGCGAATACAAAATTCAACTTTAATGCCATCTTTTTGATAAGGAGGAACCAACGTAATCTTAAAGGAGAACTGGTCAGTTTCACCATCACACGAATTAGGAACATATTCTGCTAAAATGTCATAATGAGTCTGCCAGTCATCCAAGGACATTCTCACATACACTAACTTCTCAAAAGATATATTCAAAACACGAATAATGCCCTTCATACTTGTAGAGCCAGGAAGATACTCGGTCGACTCTAATATTGCTTTCTGTATTTGAAGTTGTTTTATAAGCTCGTCCTTGGAAGAAGGCAAATCAAATAGTGGAGATAAAATATATTCTTCGGTGTGGAAAATATCCTTCTTTAAGTCAAAATCAGTGGAAACACTTGGTACTTCCCAGCTGTCAAATTCTTTAACTGAGACAAGATTGAATCCAAAGTTGTCAGCGAATGAAACTCTCCGAGAACCTGAAGTTGGGGTGTCCAGGCATATGTCTTCAGATGATCCAGAGCCTCGCCTGCTTGGTTGAGGGGAGAAGCCAGGTTTGAAGGTAATTTTAACTTCTTCATCTTCACAAAGAGAAACAGATAAATTTGGAACTTCTAAAAAATTATCTTTGCTAATCTGACTAGGTGCTTCAGTAGGCTCCATTGGACTCTCTGACAGCAAATAAGAGAGAACTGTACAACTAGTAGGGGCTGATATTTGAGATAGTGAAGCTTAAAATAAGTGTAATGTTACAGTTGACATTGCAAAAAGGAGTCAGCTCTATAAATAGGCCCATAGGCCTGTAAACTATGCTAGCCTGCTTCCAAAGGCCTTTAATATGATAGTGTCCATGCTACTGGCATCGTACGTTTCAGATTCAGCTCTCATTTTTAGCATTTCATTTGCCTATGAGTTAACTTCCAAAGAGAACTTCTACAATTATGTTCTGCCGCTAGACATTTTGAAACCTTAAAATCAAAGTATTTTAAGCAGTCGTTACTGAAATTAAAAACTTAGGCCATAAGAAAATAAAATCATAAAACAATACTGAATATGCAGTTTCTGTTAAATCAATTCAGAGATCAAACATGGTCAGAGAGGAGATAATAACATTCATAGTCTTAGAGAGATCCAGAGCCTGCTGATAACTGTAGTTAGAATTATCAGATTCTCATTGTAAAGGTTTTACAGCAGAAGAGCTAAGAGCAGACTGTATGTTCTGAGGGAAAAAGTGTGATTTAGATGAAGAAGGTTCCATCTGAATTAAACCACAAAAAGAAAGTACATTTTGTTCAGGTAGGAAAACTTAGTCTACTCAAAGAATGAATCATTGCTTTCATTTAAAGAATTAGTTTGATTTTTGTTGTTAGTGCTGCTGTTTGGGTTGGGGTTTGAAATAATGGACTCACACTTCCTAAGGCAGCACTGTACCCCTTGAATACTCCACCAGCCCTTTAAATGGTGCTTACTTTTAGAGATCATTGTTAATGCTCTTGCTAACCTGATCCATTGTCTTCCTATGTGTGCTTTCTCCTGTAGCTAAGGTGACAGGTGTGTGGCATTGCATTGTTTGAAATGGATTCTTGTGAACTTCTTGCCTGGCTGGTTCTGATTCCCATCATTTCTGCCTTCCTAGTACCTGGAATTTCAGTCTTGAGCCATTCCAACCAATAAGACCTTTTATTTTCTCATTAAGCTGTGGGAAAATACTTGTAAGTCATAAGTAGAAAGGTGAGACTAGCAAAGGAATAAAAAAATGTAACAACATATTCATCTTTAGCAAATTGTCATTTTATATGCATAAATAATATAGTTTTGATATCATGGCACATTTGAGTTAAATGTGAATTTTAAAGTGCGATCAAAGTATTTGGACTGGCAAAATGTTATGGATTTTTAAAAATTTTTTTGGATAAATAAGCCTAGCTTAGAAAATCAAATGTGGCCTTTTCAGGGTGGGGGTTCCTGGGGCTTGCAGTCAGGACCTGGGAGCCATCCCTGAGATTTTTTGCTCAAGGCTAACCATACCACTTTGAACAACAGCTCCATTTCCAGTTTCCTTGTGGCTAATTGGAAATGAATCTTGCAAACTTTCTTGCCTGAGCTGGCTTTGAACCACAATCTTCAGACCTGACTCCTGAATAGTATGAGCCACGAGAGCTCTGTGTGACCAAATGTTTTTGTTTTTGTTTTTGTTTTGCTAAGGTAGAACCCACTTTCTGGATGGAAGTTTCGTTAGAAAAACAAACTTCAAATCCATATATATTTTAACCCAGAAATATATCAACCAGAAAATTCTTTTGTCAATATGGAAAAAGATGCAAAAATAAATGCAGATACATGTTCATAAGAGAATTGTTTATTTTAAATCTTTTAAAATGTTCATTAATTGAAACTGGATAAATACCATCAGAAAGCCTTTCAGTCACTAAACGGACAAAATAGCACTTTGTGTACTAGTATTAATAGATTACTAAAATCAATAACTGAAGTTAGAAAAAAAGATGTGCCCAGATATGTGTATGCATGTAGAATTTCAAAAAACTGAAACAAATTCTTAAAATGATTTACATCTACCAAAAAGAATTAACGTTTGCAAGGAAAGGAGGTTCTAATTTATTATTCGTCATAATCTTCTGTAGTTTTTGAAACAGGGACATGGTATTTGTCCAAAATACCTATAAAATGAACAATATTAAATTAGAAAATATGAAGTACAAAGACCATAATGGTCTCATTTCTTTCAAGTGACAACTATAATTTATTGAATAATTTGAGTTGAATAAAATGGTGGATGAAGAAATTATTTTCCAAAAAATGCTCAGCAAAAAATGGATAGTACTAGGCATCATAGGACATTTTTTAAGCTTTACCTCATCCATATAGCTAGGTTAGGTAGTGACATGAATTGTCCGAGAATGATTATCACTTTCAAACTTGATGACCAGAATAGCTAACATATCAAGTGTACATTATTATGTGAAGGAATTTGGCAACAAAATACAACAAAATATTCTGAAATGAATAAAAGATTCCATATATAATTTAGCAATTCAATGATTTAGAGAGATGAAGATTCTTGGTTCTACATCCTGGTCATCTGTTGGATAAGCGTTCAAAATGTTAGATTTTCTAACCTCAATTTTCTTAATTGTTACAAAACAAAGTTAAGCAATAAGATGCTTGTTTAATGATTGGCACAAAACATATCATAACAGTAGAACTCTTAATTCTTAGGTAGATGAGAGGGTGATTTCTATTATATTAATAGATATTTTATATAGATGCTAGAAAAAATTATAAAAATATTAGAAATTGCTTTTATTTTATAACTTTCTCCTTTTGGTAAGACCATAAGACTATAAGCACAAGCAAAACATAAACTCTCTCTTAGAAAATGTTCCTTATTTTTTGACGTAAGTTTTTCCCTTTGTAATGTGTCTCTTTTTACAGAGTACTGCTCTTGGATTTGTCATATCTGCCTTGCTTAGGGAGCTTAAAACCTTTGCACAAAGGCAAAAGACAGTTGACATGTTTCCTCTAAGTTTACCATTCAGCTAGAATAAAATGCTTTCATTTTTTTCAAGCTCCTCCGACATATCAATCCTCCAGCTCTTTATATCATTTTGTTACTGGTCTATAAGCTTCTATCAGTTTTCTTATTTGCTTATTAACGAGCTGCCTGCAGATGGATTGTAGTATCACAAGTTATGTGTCTCTGAGCATGTAAAAAACAAACAGTACCATCTTTACTCTTCTGACTCCATATTTGTATTTAGTTAAAATTCACAATCCCTGCATATAATTCCCATAGGATAGGCCAATGTCCCATTATCTCCTAGCCATAACCATGTCTACCCCTAATTTCACTACAACTTTTGCCACAACATCTCATTTACTGCTTTTGGTAGAGTAAGGACTTGTTTGAACCGAGGTTCAAGTCTTGTTCCATTCCTATCCCCATTTTTTATATTAGTCAGTGGTTCTCAAAGGTACCTTTAATATGAAAGATAGACCAGTCAAGATCCCAGTAAATAGGACACAGATGGCATGCTCAAATAAGATAATTCCAAGAGGGTTTATTTACAAGAGTCTATTTATAAACTGTAAATATAGCAAAGCTACAAGGGCTAGTGTGCCAAACTGAAGCCAGTTGCATCAGAACTATAATCATCCTTCAATGGATAAGAAAGGGAAGTAATTAGCAGAACTTCAAAACAGAAAGTGCCATAAAGATTTTATTGGTTAAAGACCCGGTTAATGGACAAAGATGACCTTGGTAGGAGTGATTCAGAATCATAAATACACTGTATTCACTCTTCTCTCCTTTGATAGCTTAGCACTGGGCAGAGGGCAATGAACTTTTATAGTTCATTCAATAGAATGAACTATAGTAGTAGAAAGCAATGGGGGAAAGAAAAGAGAAAAAGAGTAGTGAGCAGATTTTGAAGAGAGAACAGAACATACCAGAGGTTAAACATGTAAACATAGATAACACATATATGTACTCATGTATCTTAAAATAGACGTGTTCCTTTTTGTATATCTTTTCGTTTCAGGACCAACTGAGTTTCTATGTCTCTTTTACTGTGCCTCCTTTTTTAATTTTAATTTCTATGCCTGGACCACAACAATGCCTAACACATTTATTTGTCAAGATTATTCAACTAGGTCATGTGTATTAGCAGTCATCAATAGTAAAGAATCTGTCCTACTCAGTAAAATGTATATATATATAATTATTATTATTATTATTATTATTATTATTATTATTACTAGTGAGATTGTGATGGTGGTGGTGGCATTGCTACACTTTCATTTCTGAGAGGTAAGACAGCTGTTGGATTGAAGAATACAGTATCTGAAGATGTATTGTCTAAACTTCAATCCTATTTATTAGTCAAATGCAATCTTGTAATCAATTAATCTTTCTGTGCTTCTATTTCTCCATCTGTCCAATGAAAATATTCATCTTCCTACTTAAATGATTTGTTTGAGTTAACATGAGCAAATGCATACAAAACTTTTAAAGATGGTTAAAATTTATACAGAAAGAGGGTAATTAAAAATCCAAACATCAATAGCTGGGCACCGGTGGCTCACGCCTGTAATCCTAGCTACTCAGGAGGCTGAGATCTGAGGATCGCCATCCAAAGCCAGCCCAGGCAGGAAAGTCCGTGAGACTCTTATTTCCAATAAACCACCACAAAACTGGAAGTGGTACTGTGGCTCAAGTGGTAGAGCACTCATCTTGAGCTGAAGAGTGCAGGGACAGCGCCCAAGCCCAGAGTTCAAGCTCCACAACCGACCAAAAAAAAAAAAAAAAAAATCCAAACTTCTGGAGGGGAGGGAGGAGATGGTAGGGTAAAAGCAAAGGAGGGGGTAATAATGCTCAATACTTACTCATGTAACTGTAACCCAATTGTACAGTATCTTTACAATAAAAAAAATTTAAAAGTCGAAACATCTGATAGAATCATTGTATATTTTGCTGCATTTTTATGAAAAATTCCATAAGAAAATAGTTTAATTTGTGCATAATTATATCCTTATACTTGCCATATGTGAAAATGAGTGAAATCAGAATGAATGACTTTAATACAAAGCTTCCTAGTATTTTATTTTCAGTATGTTTACTACTATTTCTACACTTTTGCACAGTA